TGTTTGTTTGTTTGTTTGCTTTTTTTTTTTTTTTTTTTTGCGAAAATAAGAGTGAGATGTGATGATGAGGGCTAGAGTTTTTGTTCGTCAATTGTGATGTGATGAAAGAAATTGAGAGTAGAAAATGATAGAGAAAGGAACCAAGGAAAAGTGTAATGGTTCATGCATGTTTGTTGTCAATTGTCATTTTAGTATAATATTTGGAATTTTAAGTTTTAAAATTTTGATTTTGATTTAATTAAAATTGAAATTTTATCAAAATTTTGAAATTTTGATAAAATATCATAGATTACATTATTGTAAATATCATAGATTACAATGTTTTAAAAATATTATCATATAAATTATAAATTATGTGCACCAAAATTTGGTAAAAATTAGTGTCTTTTTTGGTGTTTAGCTGTTGACAACTTGCTGAAGTGGCACACCACATTAGCCAAAAATTCAAAGGAAAATGTTATTCTAGCCTAACAAACTTTTGGTGTTTCTTTTAAAACATCCATAAAGTTGTTTTGGTAGTCTAAGGGGTTAAAGTCCATTTTCACCTAAGCTATAACAGGTTTTAAGACTCCACTTCACCTCCCCTAACCCCCTCCTCTCCACGAAACCATCTTATTTACTTAGGAAATCGACATTTGATATAGCCATGATGCTGAAGAAATGGCTACCTCTATGGTTGGTTGACAAGCTTATCCTAATCTTTGCATGGTTCATTCTCGGAAACATAGAAAACTAAGCCATAAAAAGACCATCTTTAGGTCTATTACAACTGAAAAAACCCAGTTCTGAACATCGACGCACTTGATAAAAATCGTTTAGACAATATCACTGTCGTTCTAGTTCTTGATATTGGTGCACTTGAGAAAATTCGATCAAACGAGATTTTTGTCGTTCTTGGAGTCAAAATATTCAACTTCATCTCCATCGAGCTCGTTAATGACGACACGCTTGATATCGATTCAGTTGCTTAGCAACTAGGTATTGCAACAATGTTTCCTATTGGCTTCAGGTAAGCAAAAGCTTCCATTTCTGCTCCATTGTTTCATAAAAAGATTGAACATTTCAGTTTTTCTAATCGAATTTTTACTTTTTCTATGAACAAGAAATCGAGTTCTTTGCTAAAAATGGCTTCCCCAAGACACCGTTTCCAAACGGGTGGAATAGGGCTTGCTGGTGCATCTGTTGACGCCATGAAAATCTCTCAAGATATAGGGAAAGTATGGAAATAGTAATTAAATCAGAAAAAATTGAATCATATACCCAACTACAAAATCAAACAAGAGAAAGAGAGGATTTACCCAACAAATCAAATGGGATAAAGAGAGGAGCTCCTTGATCTTCGTCAATGTTAAATCCTATCCTAATAAATAAGAGCTTTCTTGCTACGTGGCAATCTCTAAGCCCCTCCCAATCAATTTTTCCCACTCAACTCTGTAGAGTGAAATACCAACACTGCCTTGTCCTTAGCCCTTATCCTTACGTTACGATTACGATTATGATAAACTCCATTTTACCTCTGATACTTCTCCGATGTTTATTCTTCTCAGGAAAATCAAAATCATAATTCAAACTGTTCCAAATTAATTCAGCAGGTTACATTTTCACCTAATCTTCAATATCAATCGTTTTCTTTCTCTATTTTTCTCCTGCTTCCAACGACCTTAATGGTGAAACCTCTATCCACTGAATCAGGTATACTAGGGCTTATGTTGAATTGCGATTACTCCCTCATCAATAGTGAAGAGGACACCCATATGCCCTCCGGCGCCACAATTTTCGTTCGGGTAAACATCGATCTTCTTTGCGCAACTTTACTCATCTAGGTTAAGCTGTTACTCCCACATTTTGATCCGGCCAGACACACCGACGATGACGTTCTACCTCCGGCCACAGGGTTCGATTTCTGATTTCAACTTCGATTTTTGACTTTGCATGTTCGATTTTGCAAGCTTTATCTTCGATTCCAACTTGATTAGGTTTATTGAATACAATTTGAACTTTCATCTTCAATCTATCTGAATATGTATTTTTTATTATAACAGATTTCTGAATACAGAATTCTATTCGGGTTAGTTGCTTTGATGATTATAGTATTTGTATCTGTATGAAGAAAGTAAGTGTTTGATTTGAATAAATAACAGGTAAACTCACCATATGCTTTCTTGAAGAACGGATTTCATAGCTTGAATGAACAATCTGGGTGTTTTTGTAAGTGTTGGTTCTCAGATTTGATTCCATTCGTCTGAGTATCTTGCTTTGGTTATTTTTTTTTTTTTTTTTTTGAAATTTCGAGTAAAAGATGTTTAACAAGAAAATGCATAGATTTTTTCTTTGTGCTTTTATTCTTGGTTCCAGGGATGATATGTGTGTTTTTGCCATTTTGTTGCATAAATGAGGTCATTTTTTCCAAAGTTTTCAAAAAATGAAGAACGTGTTCTTTATCGGCTTGAAAAAGCTTTTTCTTTCTACAAAAGTCTCATATACTCTTATGCCACATGATAATATACTATGTTAACTTTATGTGTTTGTAGTGGTAAAATTTAAATATTTGATTTTTTATATCTTTGATTTGATTTACTTTTAGTGTAGACTGATAATGTGGAATTTGAAAGACATGCTGCTAGAGGATGAAATTTCCATTTTATGGACTAACCCTTTTACAGGGGGTGTATTGCTTTATTTTATTAGGAATTTCATTACTTTGCAATATATCTTTTGATTTGAGGTGAGATGTTTAGTTTTAAATATTCACCACCACCACCACCTTACATATTGTTCATATTTAAATGAATTAAATGTTTAAGTTAATAATATATATTTTTCTATTTCATGATAGATGTTTAAGAAATTGCTTTAGGATATTTGGATTTATCTTGCTGAGTTGTTTTTTATAAAGTTCATATTCATTTTTCAGCTAAAGATAGAGATCAATCGGCATGTAACATGAGAAATATGGTAAACTAAGATCTAATTTTCCATGATATCGATTCAAACATACTGGAAACTTTCATTTATAGCCTTTTTTTTCTAAAATTTTTTAGAATTTCGAACATAGGCGTGAAAATTAAAAAAAAAACATTTTATTTTATAGCATTCTACTTTCTTGAAACTGTCATTTATAGCATTCTACTTTGTAAAATGGTATCTTTTCGAGGATTCCGAACATTGAGTGCATTTAAAAAAATCATCTTTTATAGTATTCCACTTTCCTTAAACTGTTATTTATAGCATTCTCCTTTGTAAAAACAACATTTTTTTAAAGATTTCCAACATCAAAGGAGTAGAGAAAGATTCTGTGGTTGAAAAATAGAAAGTAAAGAACATTTTATATTTATGAATCTTGGAACAAAAAATTGTTTGTATTGGAATGTTGTATAAAAGAAGTGTTTACAAATTTTTAATAATCACTTAATTTTTGTGGATAGACTTAGATTTTTGGTTGATTTTATCTTAAAACCAAAGTAAATTGTTTATGATGATGACTAGAACTTTTTTTTTTCTTTTATTCATCCCTTTAGACTCATAAGGTTATTGGGTGAGAGTTATAAGAGTATGATTGCTCATGGAGTTTGTTAGTCTCAGATTCTTAGTCACATACATGAAGCAGCTTCAACCAGAGATGCAATGTAAGTTTCTGGAGTCGAGGGCATTTACGTCTTTTGCACATTACAAACAAGGCGCTTCTTATTGTTTTCATTTGCTAAATTTCAGGTATGAGCATGCTGAATTCATAGAGAGAGAAATGGAACAAATGACCGAACAAATAAAGTATGTTATTCAGACTCTTAATGCCAATCAGGTTATTTATCTTTATTTTATTTTTTTATTTGGCAATGCAAAAAGCAGGTTTGAAAAGTAAAAAAAAAATGATTAATTTGAATATGTTTATGTTGGATATAATAATAGGCGGGAGAAGTTGAAGCAAGTGATGGTATGGGTATGGCCCCACTGGATGTGGTGGTTCGGATCCTTAACAATCAACTCAGTACATTAATGTGGATCGACGAAAAGGTTGTATTTATATATTTAATTTTGTAATTACAAAAATAACAACTTACTTTGAAAATCAGAAATATAATAACTAAATTATAAATAATATAAACATCTTGCTGGTTCCACAAACATCCTTTTGAAATCCAATCCTTTTATTTTTTTTTAAATTTCCTATCAATTTTGGTCCCAGTGTCGTCAAAGTCAACATTTAACTGTCAAAATTTTATAATTACCACAGGGACCAAATTTGTTATTTACCCTAATATGTGTTATTTGTTTTCTGTAAATTAACCTTTAGAAAATTTTGAATTTTTAGTCATGGATCATGCTCAAATGATTAAAGAAAAGTGAATATATTATGCAGATATTGTTATTATTGTTATTATATATCATTAAAATTCAAATCCCTTTAAAATCAGTATCTAATATCAATATATTTGTTAATTTGTCAATTTTCCAACTTACTCTAACACAATTATAGGGATTACACGGATATTTATACCATACAATCAGGGATTTAATTTTTGAATTCCTTAATCATTACCTTTTTTATGGAGATATCCATAAAAAATATATCTGTTATAAATTGAAGTTCTCATTTTCTCTGAGTGCACGATTTACTTCTACAGAAAATTTTGTCTTCAGCCCTTCCTTTCATCGTGAACAACAAATAAGATAACATCAACGTTAGTTTTTATTTACTCTATAATTTTCTATTATGTTCATCTTTTTGCTTCTATCAGTTCATCAGGCATTATCTGTATCTTATTCTGCAATGACATCAACATTTGATTTTACAAAAATGTTGGCATCTGCTTTGTTCAATAAGTCATAATGGTTGTGTATAGTTATCTTTTTCTGCAATGATTGGGTTGCAGCCTAAAAATTTTCTCCTACATGCTTCCATAAAGATTATAACTTATAATCTTTCATTGTGTTAGGGCAACTGCACGTTTTATAAATTGTGTAAACCTTATAGATCGGCATTTTATAAATGTAATTATTTTTTATATTTTTAAGTTACGCATTCTACTTCCATTTATAGCAATATACTTGAATATATATTCTTTTTTAATATTCAATTTTGTATGTTGGTCACTCTAATTCCTATTTATTCTATTTTCTATTTTTTTTGTATGTTGGTAGTACATCAACCAGTTTGCGTTTTCAATCCTTTGAAAAGTCTTATCTGTTGTAACCATTCTGTAAAACAAGGACCATTTTTATGTTTATTATAGCAATGTACTTTAACAAGGACCATTTTTTATGCGTATTTGTATCTATATATGTGACTTTTTCTGTATGTATAAGGTGTCTATTATAGAAATGTATTTTAAAATTACTTTGCTATTGTATCCAATATAAAAATGAAAAAAAAAGTTAAACATGGGCCATTTTTGTACACACTACAAACCCTTGGGAAATTTGTGGTCTTCAAATACTAATTTTTAACATCTACGATTACAGGGAAGAGGAATAAAAATTAAATATTTCTACTATTATGCGCAATTTAACAAATGAAATTAAATTATTGAAACACAAACTTAACAAAGATTCATACCTTTTTCAATCTCCATTTCTAATTAAATACTTATCATTTACTGTGTAATTAAATATTTAAAAATCACAAAGTTATTAAAAATGCAATATTACAATTCATAAGTTTTCTAAATTAATGAAATATTATTTTATACATAATTAAATTTTAAATTCTATTTAAAATTAACACCCGTGGGTTCCACAGATTTTAACCTAGTAGTTTATATTTTCGGTTGTTTATATACTTTGGTATAGCATGTCGTCCCTTTGTGTAATATGTACCTTTTGTATATTGATTTAATTTATGTAACCCTAATTAATGTGTTTCCACACAATTTATCATGGTATTGAGCCTTACCTTAACCCGTATCCACTCAGCACATCATGACTTTTTCCGACGCCACAAACATATTTTTTTCGGCTGCTTCTTGTCGTCATCTTCAGAAATCGCCGCTGCCAGACCAGCCCTCCATTGTGGTCACTGCTACAACTCCTTCGATCGCATCCCCCTCATGTGGTTCCTGCAACTTTTTTTCACATGTGCTTCTCAGTTGTGGAGACCTAGCTTTCAAAATTTTCAATCCTTCTGCTGCTTACTCCCCAAAGCAATTAGGTTTTCGGTATATTTAATTCTCTCTAGCTACGGTTAAGCACTTTGTTTATTATTTTCTGCTTCTATTTAAGTTTATTTTTTCGATTTTCTCCGTCCTCTATATCTACACCATCATCATCGAGCATACCCACGACTCCAACTGCAAACCAACTTGTCTTTGCACTTACTAATGTCAATTCTCAGTTTAGCTTTAGATTGTTCGTTGATGATTAAAATACAAGCTACGGAGATGTATCTTTTTAGACATGTGCAAGGGTGCTAAATTGGATATCCATATCAATGGAAAATCCCTTCCTCAAGGTGAGGATGATGAGGATTGGTAATCCATCGATTCTAGGATAAATTCCTGGTTTACTCTACGTGTGATGCAAATCTTCTAAAGATTATTTCTAGTGACAATTGTACTAGAAAATGTACCGAATTCTCCAACTACAAGAGCAATTTCGAAACTCCAAGAAAGGTTCTTCCTCAACAACAAAATGTACCGAATTCTCCAACTACAAGAGCAATTTCGAAACTCCAAGAAAGGTTCCTCATCCATCACCGAACTTTTTCACTTCTAGAAGAATCTGGCCGAGGCACTAACAAATTGTGATTCTAAAATTGATGAGATTAAACTCGTAATGAAAATTCTTCGTTAACTACCACCATCATATCTTAACATTATGGACGTGATCACCAATACAAAGCCATTCCCATCCTTCCTGAGGCTTAAAGCATGCCACTCCTTCATGAATCACGAGAAGAATTGATTGATCCAACCAATGATGCTATACTTACATTTTTTGTTGCATTATACTCATCTGCAAGCACCAATGGAAAAATGAAAAAAATAAATTAATAGGGGTAAAAATAATGGGCGATATGATTTAAGGGGGGATAATTATAAAGTTTCGGCTAACTCTAATTCCTTTTCAGGTGTTTAAGCTCAAATCACGCCTTATTTGGAGTTCAACCATCTCTCGGATTTGCCCTTAGTGAACAGCCCGATCTTCTTGGAGCAACTCCTACTGCTGTTGTTGCTTCTTTCTTCTCATGACAGCCTCTTATTGTCATCCAAAAACAACCCATGATGTTGCCTTCAGTGCTGCTCCCAGTGTTGCTCCCTTCGGTCTTCAACAACAGTTTCCAAGCAGGCACTTTGGTTCACTCCAATAGGCTCCACAAATTCCTATCTTTAAACAAAAACCATATGAGTTCTCGGTCCTAATGGAACCCGCTTTTGCTCACCACTTTATTCCAAATAAATAGTATACTCACCAACCACCTCACACTTCTTTTGGGGGACTTCCCACACAACATGGTCAATGTTAGATCACACATTTTGTTATATTGTGTTTGAGTTTGTATGTGAAAGGTCTCAAAATGTTGTATCTTTTGTCTTTACTTTATATATGCTTAATGTATTAGTTTGATTTCATAGTTTGTATACTTAGGCTTCCAAGATTTGGTCAGTTAGTTATGACAGTTTGTAGTAGCTTAGTTGTCGTGACCTTATTGGTCATGTCCTAACCAACTATCTTGTATTATCCTAAATATAAGGGATGTTAGTTAGAGAGAGATGGGGATAATATCTTTTAAGAAAGGCTCTTAAGAGTGACATCCCCAAATTCACGATCATTTTAAAAAATTTATTTATGCTTATTTAAAAATCAGAGTATCCTTTTTAATAACAATAATGCATAATTTGTTCCCAGAAAAATATTATAAATATATTATCAAAGCATTTTCGAAGAAATGTATTTTATTTATATTAAAACATTGGGATGTCATCGTCAATACATAAACATAAACATAAATAGACCTTACATTCATTTACACTAATGATTTACATCTCCTTTAATCTCTCAGTGTAATGTATCTTCACATCAATACTTGTGATAAAAATAAACTGAGTGGGTCAGGTTGGGAAACCTGGTGAGTACATAGGGTTTTCAACCCACAGTAACAAAGTTATTATGTTTCATCAGCAAACAATTAACCCAATTACCCATCCCCATTATCTTCTTTATTTATTAAGGATCTACCCTAAGAATCATCTATCATTCACTCATTCATTCCTAATGATTGTCCTAAGGAATAAGTATGAAGTCCATCGCCGCCAAGGTTTATTTAACAGGCACTAAGTCCATAGTTGTCGATGTTATTTGTTAAGCACTAAGTCTATAGCTGCCAATATCCATTTATAGGGCACTAAATCCATAGTTGCCAACATTTATTTGTAAGGCATTAAGTCCATAGTTGCCAATGTTCATTTGTAAGGCACTAAGTCCATAGTTGTCGGGGTTTGTCTATTTGGCACTAAGTCCATAGCAGCCGATGTTATTTGTTAGGCACTAAGTCCATAGCTGCTAATATCCATTTATAGGGCACTAAATCCATAGCTGCCAATGTTTATTTGTAAGGCACTAAGTCTATAGCTGCCAATATTCATTTGTAAGGAAATAAGCCCATATCTTTCGGGGTTTGTCTATTTGGTACTAAGTACATAGCTGTCGATGTTCATCTATATAATCTTTCATCTCTCATCATTCATCTAACCATCTTTACCCAATATTTTTACAGGTATAAAATAGGTATATAGTTTAAATCAAATAAAACATGTATATTTTCTTCATCCAACATAAATATCAAGAACACAGATAATATGCACACATAGCACATAATTTATATTAAATACTTCATATTTATGTGTAAGATGACAGTAACTATGCACTTACTTGTTAAAGCGATGATTCCAAACTCGGGTAGCGCTTCGCTTCTAACGATTCTAGTTTCCTTTGAGGAAACCTAGTATTATTACCACTAGATTTTAGTCTAATATTTATTGCGACTATTTATGAGCGATA